GAAGAAGGAGGAGGAGGAGGAGGAGGAGGAGGAGGAGGAGAGGAGGAGGAGGAGGAGGAGGTCAAAACACTGAAAGATTTTGACAAAAAAACTGAAATGGAGAGGAGGAATACAATTGATAAAGATGGAAAATTCCCCAGAAATGATGCAGAGAAAGGGATTACTGACAGCTCCCATAGTATAATATTGATATTGTGGAATACAGAGCAATCTGTCCTGCTAAAAAGATCAGACTGTTTCACTTTGCTTTCCCAAAAGATTTAATGGAAGTTTAGTGAATATTGAACAGATGCTATTAATCTCTTTCCAAACTCACAGAATAGAAAACCTTTAACTACCCTATTTCTTCTTCTAGGGATACTATGATTCATAATTAAAAATGGATAATCACACATCTGAATTTCTTCTCTTGGAATTTTCAAAGATTTGGGAGCTACAGGTTATTTATGTAACTTTATTACTGATACTGTATTTGATGACAGTAACAGGGAACCTTATCATCATCATTGCTATTGCTTCTGACCACCATCTTCACACCCCCATGTACTTCTTCCTGATGAATTTAGCCATGCAAGACATTGGTTCTGTTTCAGTTACTATCCCAAAAGCTGTTTTTAATTGCCTTGCGAATATAAGGCATATTTCTTATTCAGGGTGTGTTGCTCAAATCCTCTTGTTAGTGTTCTTCCTGGACTCTGATGTTGCCCTCCTGACTGTCATGGCCTATGATCGATATGTTGCCATTTGCAATCCTTTACACTATGAAATGGTAATGAATAGGATGGCCTGCACCAAAATGGTTGGCAGTGTGTGGATTGCCAGTTTTCTTAATGCTACACTACACACTATTGCAACATTTACTAATCCTTTTTGTTCTAACATTATCAATCAGTTCTATTGTGAAATTCCACATCTACTTAACATTATCTGCTCCGGTTCATATGCAATTGAAATTGCAATTGTAATGTTTACTTCTATATTAGTAATTGGTTGTTTTTTCTTCATCATTCTTACTTATGTTCAAATTTTCTCTGCTGTTCTGAGAATCCCTTCTCTTCAAGGAAGAAAAAAGGCCTTCTCCACTTGCCTACCCCACCTCATTGTCATCACCATATTTCTGTTTTCTGGTTGCTTTGCCTACCTAAGGACCATACCTGACAGTCCTTCACACCTCGACTTCATAATTACAATAATGTATTCCATTATTCCACCCATTTTAAATCCATTGATCTATGGCATGAGAAACAAGTATATTAAAACAGTTTTTACAAGACTTCTTAGTTTGAAGTCTTAAATATCTTGGTATTTTAATGAAAAATGGAAGGAGCAGTTAGACAGCTTAGATAAATTGTGCTATACTGTAACACATGTGTTCCCTTCATTTTGCATGTTTATTTCATTTAGAATACTACACTTATCTATGTCAATATATTTATGGACCCAAAATTTATCTGTTATGTGATTTTTCAGCTTCAGAGATAATCCTCAAGACACCAACAGTTAAATAAAATAATAAACTCAGTAAAGGTTAGTGAAATGTGATTGAAAGAGACTGGGTTTTTTTTTAATCTGAAACTAGCAGATAAAAATGTTTTATCAAAGCTGGTTTGTGATATGCTTCTTTTACTCTTATTAATCTTCAAAAAAGATAGATACTTGTATTTGGTGTATCATTATAATTTCAGGAAATCCATGTGACATGTTAACCAACAACAATTTACAGGCATATATAGATAAGAAGACATAGAACCTCCATGAAGAGGTTAAGAAAATCTTTCTTGTGCATCTATTATTTATTCTGAAGGTTTGCTCCCTTATTATAATTGAATGATTCCCAAAGTATGTCTCTGTGTGTGTATGTATATCTGTGTGTGTGTGTTTGTGTGTGTGTGTATATATTATTTCGGTCTATGACCGAAATAAAATGTATTGACTGATGTATGTATGTGTATGTATGTATGTGTGTGTGTGTGTGTGTGTGTGTGTATAAGTATGTATATATAAGTGTGTATATATAAGTATGTGTGTGGGTGGGTGTGTATACACACACACATATACACACTTATATATACATACTTATATATACACACACAAACACACACATACATACATACACATACATACATCAGTCAATACATTTTATTTCAGTCATAGAGCAGCATAAAACCAGTGACATAGCTCTTACACTACAGTAAGTATAAAAACAAAAATCATGTTAATAGCATAAAATAGAACATGAATAGAATTATTGGGGTAAAGTTGCAGTGTGAAGAGGTTATAAACAAAAGATCCTTTGTAGTTCAGTTAATTTTACAAGAAATAATCTAAATACTGCAATTGACTAAAAGAAATAACTATAAAATGGTATAAATAATACTGAAATTTATAAAAGACTACAAGAGTAATAATTTTTTATAGTAACTTGTCGTGTCAGATCAATTATTATTTGGTCACAGAGTAGGGAGTTAGACGTAAGCTTCACACCTGATTAGGGATGTTACAGTGTATTGTACAGATTGTAAAACAGAATTTAGCTGTGGACAATGAAATACGATCAGATTGGTCTGATAGGAGCAACTTGAGATAGAAGGAGTCCAAATGACCTGGGTGTTTATCAAGAAGCTAGGAATATATATATATCACTCAATAACAGCAAATCATTAAATAATAATGATTTGATGATAATAATAAATAAAATAATATGTGTTCTTCTCATTTGATGTGGGGATGTCCCATTAGGAATCTAGCTGTCACCTTTCATAGGGCAAAATATTAACGAGTGCCTGGGGTCATATCTATGTTACAAGTCATCTGGAACTGCCCTGAATGTCTACAACACAGTACTAAGAAGTCTTCGGACCTGCCCCTTCTCTTTTCAGAAAATCAATGCTGTTAGTCTGGTCAAGGAACTGGCCAAAAAAAAGGAAAAAAAAAATGGTCCACTATACCTACCCATAGTTAAGAGGCAGAAGTTATGTTAACACCATTATTAGCCCAGTAACAAAAGCATTTCAGTTCATTGGGGTTCATTGTTGTTTGCATGGATCGTTATGGTTTCATGGAATGATGTAATGGTGCACTGAAAAACAAAATTTCCAAGATTTGTAGTCAGTCCAAATTTTGGTAAAATCAAATGTTGGTAGAAATTCAGCAATGAGGATACATTAAATCATCAGTGGGTGAGAAACTGTTGGATGGATAGGATTACATTATTTGCTAACAACTTCATATGTCCATGTATACAAAAAGAACTTAATCTCGATAAACAGTACTTTAAACAGAATACTAGTGGAGGCCCAACCCAGGATCCTATAAACTATTTAGTGCATCCAAGATCTGAACTCATCTAATGGACTACAAGAACTTTTTTTTTTTTAAGAACATCCAACATCCCCACATCAAGCATCAAGTCATTTCAGAATGGAAAAAC